AGAAAAATTAAAAAAAAAATGATTACATCTTCAACTTACATCGGCAAATCGCATTACTGACTTAACAAAGGTTTCGTCAACCTCTAGTAACTTTCTGACTTCACAGCGTAATTCTTTCCATTCTTCAGCTGTAAATAGTGCCTCTACCTTCTGATAATCCAAATCAATAATCTATGAATTCAGCTGATAATTTATTGCAATGTTCGAAGATAAAATCCTCGACGCACATTTCAGATGATAGAATCCACTTTGAGTCTCTTTCATTTTTGCGTAGGATTCATCAAAACGCGTGAACTGTGAAGATATCAGCAATGGTGAAGGATCCTCAACATCACTTGTAATATGAATAGAAGTGAATTGTAAACTTAAGAAAAAAAATCGAAGAAATTCAACCAAAGAATTACCTGAGTCTGTATTCCGAATCATCATTCTCATTAGATAACTTAGAAATGAAGTCATGTGTTTCAGACTCGGCCTAAAAAAGAATCTCACCGATTAGCAATTATTTAGTCTTTTGATTATTATGAATAGTCATACATCGTTACATCAGAACAATTTGTTTTAATATGAAACTGACCTTGTCTTTCTCGTTGACCATATTGCTTGATTTCCACCATTACTTGGCTGAGTTGTTCATTTTTTGCAAAAACAGTTTGGACGATTTTTTTTCAGAGGAACTTTTAAAGAAATTATCTATCTTGTCACTTTCATCATAATCATTCTAAAACATTAAAATGCAAAAATTATTCTTTGATTCTAAATTTCTAGACAAAAAATGCAAGTATATACCTTTTCCTGATTGCTTCTATTTGATATGAACAATCCAGAGAAAATTCCACCTTCAATATTTTCAGTTTCACCGTTAATATTTCTAATCCCAAATGATGGATTGTAAACGTGAACAGGTGCTGATCTATGCCCACTCGTGCGCTCATTACTCTATTCTTTTGCTTATTAATGATCTGGCTTACCATCCTAGCATAGAAAATTTGGAATTAATGATATATTTAAGTAGCACGCATTAGATTTTCCATTCCATCCCATCGAGTCGACTAATAGTCTTGAACAACAGACAAACTAGTAGGTTACCTGTGCCTAATGAGGCTGGTATTAGGTCGACTAGTAGTCTTGAATAACAGACAATCTAGTAGATCGTCTGTACTCTAATACTAGCTTCGTGGCTCAACTAGTAGTTTTGAATGATGAGAAGCTAATAAATCCTTACCACACCACCAATTATAACAAAAAAAACCTGAATACTTGTCTTTCTATATCTATCGAGTAGTGCTTATGTTATTTCTCTCCTTTTTCCTTCCCCACTATTCACAATCGTCTTAAGGCACTTGATATAACAGTCAATCTTTATTTTGAGTAGCTCTAATTCGCATTCATCCAGGAATTCTTGAATAGACCATTCAGAGGATTTATGATCAAAATACTCGCACATTTTGTTTTAGCTGAAAAGTAAGTTATGTTATGTTTGAGATGAAAAAATTAAAAAACGTTAATTTTAAAAAAAAAATTTTTTTTTTACGCGTTATCACGATGGTTTCGTGGCTTCAAATAAAATCTCAAAAGGGGTAAATAAAACTAAGACAATTACTCAAGGAA